TTGGTAATACGACAAACATAGAATATATAAATAGCAAAATTTAATTATATTTAAAAGTGCCCAAATAAAGTTTTGTTAATACATATTTCTCGTCCTAAATTGTTTTTTTGGGGTTTACGTTAACTGGTTTCTAAAAAAGCGTGGAATTGCCACCCGAATTTTGATTGGTTGATCATTCATTGGCTCCCGACAAAACTCGTTCCACTTTAAAAACTTTTTTAGGAATAAATTTATATTAACGTTAAACGTCATAATTATCGTTTTCATTTGACTATTTTCGATACACAGTACACATGTATAGCGGCAGCAGTAGCAGCCTTTTAAGCAATGTAACTCCAGAGGTGTAGACGCACTTTTCACGTTAGACACGACTAAAATTTAACTTCAGCTAGTAATCATAAACAGTGCTGTAAAACATGTACATTAGTTGTAGCCAATCGAAATCCTCTTATTAACGATGCAAAAGTTTGCAATGCGACTTTTCATTTTTGTTTCACGGCTGATTCGTTTGAATTTTGTCTGTTTTTTCTCCATGTGTTCTGTGTTGCTTTGTAAAGTGCGATTGGTATTTAATTATAAAAATTCAATTATCATTACGTATACTTTTAACGTTGACTAATTAGCACAACTTTACATGGCAAATCAGTTCGACTTGAGCAATACTTGTTGATCCAGTCACTGATTTGGCTAATATAATAAATATTTAACATAAATTCTTAAGTAAATAATAAAACAAAAAGGTAAGCCACATAGACATTTAAACCATTTAAATAAATACAGCAACAATTCACTTTTAATTTCAATTAACATTATCAAGAAATCAGCACACTATCAACTATGTCAACAACAGAATCTGATGATACTATTCTCAACATGTCAGGAAATGCAGAAAGGTTATCGTTATGTTTTGCTATTAGTCCAGAAGGCGATTTCGTAGTCGAATTTGGTAAAATTCCTACAGAATACCGATTTACTGTAGTGCACTACTTCTATTATCAGGTTCTATGCAAATTCTTGGTTTTAAATTATGCGATATCTAGTATTGTAATGTTTTCATGATTTATTTGATTTGTATAAATTCAGAAAAGTTAGATTAGAGATAGTGCACTACGATAATTTACATGGTAGAAATCAATGAATTTACATACAATTTCTTATTCGATTTACAGTATCAGAATTATTGGAATTCAAATTTAATATGTATAATGTTGAGAAACAGAATAAAAATGAAAACAGCGAGAGTTTGTCGTATAGGACACTTTCCCTTATCCATACCAC